TTCCCATGCCTCTTCAACAGTTTTGTTATTTAACTCCATGCAGTTCACAGTTTCTAGTTTTAATCTCATACAATTGAAGTTAGCCTTCCTAACATTTTATATTTTTTATTTGGGCTTTGCTCTTCGGGCACTAAACTTAACCTCAAATTTAACCATGTTATGATCGCTACCATGAGAATTAGCATCAGAATTTAAATGTAGTTCCAAAAAATCCATATCTAGTTTACTGCAGAACTTCATGTACATGTCAGTGGCCTTCTTCAGGTTCACTCTCTGGACTTTTGGAGAGAAGGGGGGAAAGACAATGTCCAAGATGTGTTTCCTTATGACCGGCGACTTCTGAAGAAGCAGTTGTTCCAGGAACAATAGATCCATGTGCATGTCTCCACCATCAAAGGGTCAATAGTTTATCACCAGCATGTCCAACTCCCCTCCAGTCAAGTGTCAGGGGTCAGGGGCCTTGAGGCCTTGAGGCCCTGCCTCTCCATGATGTTCCACAGCTTGCGCAGGTTGGACTGCGTGATGATGTCATCTGGTTTGAGCTCCAAGGCTCGGAGGTAATTGGCCTCAGCCTCCTGTAGTTTCCCATTGAGATGCAGTATAGCACCGAGGTTCATCAAGGCTGCAGGATGCTAGAAGAGAGGTAAATGCCAGACAGAGCCTTAAAACCTGACACTTTCATTTCATATAGTCCCAGTCAATCCACACTGTACAGCTCGAAATGTTATCATTCATGGTAGTAATAATTAGGAGCGATTTGTAAATGATCTATTTCAAAGATACAACAAAAGCCCCCCTACATGTTAACTTATTAAGCTGTTAAATAATATGCTAGAAAAAGCATAAACACAGAAAAAGCATAGACACAAACACCATACTCAAGGACAAGCATTGATATAGTCACTTTTAACTGCTGTTATAAAACAAAAATCTACTGTTCCCCATTTTCCACACATCTGATTTGTGATTCCCATCATATGCAGTTCAGATTGGGTTACATTTTACAGTAAAGGGAAAGGCTGGAAAGATGGACGCATTGACCACAGTGTTATTTTTGTTGCCTTTTGGAGTTACTTGGGTTGCCTTTTGAGTTACAGAGTCTGTCATTTAATGACTGAATACTGGTTGACAGCATGGTGGATTATACATACCAAAGGTTTCTCCTTCACCTCATATTTGCTGCCCATGTCATTGGTTTATTTAAAGAAGAATGCAATTCCTTCCTTGGGTGGAGTTAGGAAAAATCAGAATGTCCCAACGAGATTACACAAGCATATCTGGGCTATAAAATTAGCATGAACCAGTCTTATAAAGGTAGAGATCCTGGTTATTTTTTAGGTCAATATCTATTTAAAACATTGAACTAAAAAACTGCAGGGTTTTAGCACCATTTCATCAGTTATGGGCCATAGATTCAAAGTGTAATCATCTACAAATGCACCCCATGCTGGTGGCTCCTTAACTATTTATCAGACCAAGTTTAATCTCACCATGACAATTCAATTCCATACAGAACCCTAGAGGTTTGTCAGCAGGGGGTAATACAGTACATGCTTGTTTCTCTATACCCTTGATGATGAGGCCACTACCTGCACACTCATAGGGTTGTACAGGACCCTGTTAATGACTGCTTTCAACTGCCAACCATCACAGTGAAAGCTCACCCTTGGCGTTATGAAATTGAGAACTATCCACAGTTTGCACAGGCTCAAAGAACGCCATCACTGGTCCATTTGGGACTGGGGTGTAAAGCTGGCCAAGTTCATTCTTTCCTGCTCCAGATCTAACTTAATAGACTAAGCGAAACAGACATTGCATCGATGCTGTTTAACCCTCTGGACTCTAGGTGTAGGGAACACATTTTCACTGACTGGGGCATGGTCACACATTTCAAAACTTAATTCAAGGCAAATAAATTATTTCTTATATATTTGTTTTGGCATTAAACTCATCTTTATCTTAGTGTATGTTGTAAATATGTCAGATTTATGTTAAGTTTGTAATTTGACATCAAAATGCAGTTTGGAACAATTGCAGACACATTATAAAAGTACATAGTAAGCAATGCTGGCAGTTTGTTTTGATCCCAGATATCTGATCAGCAAAGCCTTGGCTACATAAATGGTGTAGTTGCAACATTCAGTTGGATAAATGAATAAGAAAAAACGAACTCATGTCACTATTTCTGGCTCCTTTCATCGAATATGTAGCGAATTTCATGTGTATGAATGAGCCATTGACACCTGGCCACGTCCCTCCCCCCCTTTTATGGTGCTGATGGGGATGTATCTGGATCACGTGCATATTTAGCTGGGGGGAGGGTGAGTGGGGGATCTCTGCCGAGTGCTGTGTGAGCCCGCGCACAAACAGAACACGGAGGGAAAGAGCGAACAAGAAGTGAAACTTATCATCTCGTTTGTGCCTTTTTCAGTGGATTTTTCAGCTACTGTACCAAATCTTGTCTATATTCAGTTTGTGGGTAATCTATAATTTTCTTCCTCAACTTCTAAAAGTTTGATATAAGGGGGCAGGACGTTTGTTTAAGGGGGCGTTGCCCCCTCTTGCCCCATCGTAGAGCCGGCCCCGGGCAGTGGTTGGGGTGACCCCCCCAGAGGGAGTCACCTGGGAAGTCAGGGTAATCCCCGAGGGGTCCCATTCGAGCTCCTCCTCTATTTCCACCAGGTGAGTAGGAGCGATGGTTCGTCTGTTGGGGACCTCCTCAAGGACAGCAGTCAGGGACATGGGAGTAGGGTCCAGAGTAAGAATCTCAGGGGACGACGCAGGAACGTCAGGGGACGGAGCAGGAATGGGTGGAACAGGAACCTCAGGAGACAGTAGGAATCACAGGAACGGGCAGAGCAGGAACCACCGGCGCAGGAACCGCGGGGGGCGGAGCATCAACCGCTGGAGCAGGAACCACCAGGGGCAGAGCATCAACCGCCGGTGCAGGAACTGCTGGGGATGGAGCTTCTCCTACCAAGGGAGCCTGTGCCGTCCTCAATAGGAGCAGCTTCTTTAGGGTAGTCTCTGCTTTCTCCAGCACCTGTGGGGGTGAATCCGGGCAGCCCCTGGGGAATCACTCACCACTGGTTCATCTATTACCCGCCAGTAGAGACCCTCGAGAGTAAAGAGGCATCTAGCTATGGTCTCGGATGCAGGTGAAGCAGCGGGCAGACGAGCCTCAGGTGTAGATGAAGCAGCGGGCAGACGAGACTCAGGCTCAGACAAAGAACCGGCAGACGAGCCTCAGACGCAGACAAAGCAGCGGGCAGACGAGCCTCAGGCGCAGACGAAGCAGTGGCAGATGAGCCTCAGGCACAGACGAAGCAGTGGGCAGACGAGCCTCAAGCTTCTTCTTCGGAGAAGCAGCAGCAGTGACTTCAGGCATGAACACCGCCGGATTCAGGATAGGAAGGGGTTCCCTCAGACACCTGGCAGGGGAAGCCACGGAGATTGAAACCGTCCGTAAGAAGACCTCCGGCTTGTCTTCTTGCTTTTCCGCTTCTTTTTCCCCCTGGAGGATAGAGGCAGAGCCGGGGGCACATCGGGCGTGTCCGCTGGTGGATGACTAGGTAGTCCGCTGTTTCGGGTTACCTGCTGCAGCATGGCCTCCGCTACTCCGTTCCTCAGCAGTCATATGTTTTCGCATACCTCATCGGCTAGGTGCACGTCTTCCGGCAGGGACATCCCCTTGAGGATATCCTGGCTTCGTCGAGCTAACGCTCGAGCTGCAGGATCCTCCTGGACCTCAGGCAGGGTTAGCCAGTAGATCACCTCATCTCCCATGTCGAGGTACTCCTTCTCGGTGAGGCACAGTGATTCTTTGGGGAGCCCTGTCATTCTGTTGTAACCAAATCGCAGCAGGTTTACCTGCGTAAAGTGTCACAAATCCACCTGCGCCAAATGCAGGGATGATGGTCACTGGGTCAGCAAACGCTGCAAACACAGACTTTGAAACAGACAGACTGTGTGGGAGAGTAACCACTGAGACAAAAGGCAGAAAGATGATGAAGTGATGAACCTGGACCTGAGGGACAGATAAAAATGTTTTTTTTCCAATTTTTGTTATTTTTACATGAACAGCCAGAGGAGAGAACATGCAAAGCTGGAGAGATCACACAAAAACAAAATTCACTTTTGGTTTTATAATTCATTGATGGCCAATCAAAATCATTATTTCCTTCTATATGTGTATGAGTATGGAAGTAAATTAATGACAAAAGTCATTGATGAAAAAAAACACGTTGAATTACACTTATCGAATAAAAACGCATTACATTAATGACGCTTAATGGGAGGGGAATAGGGAGGTGGAGGTAGTCCAGCATAGACAAACAGCCATCCGTTCCTGCAGCAAATCCGCGCTGTACAAGGACCTGCTCGTTAACGCTGGGGGTGTCAAGCGGCGAAGGCGTGGGATGGGGGTAGGGTGTCCTTGTGGTTGGGGGAGAGGAATGCAAGAGAGTCTCGCTGCCTTGTTCTTCAGGGGGAGTTGTTGAGCTCAGCAGAGGCCTTGGCCAAGGCCCGTGCTGATTAGGGGG